CGTCACACAGGGAGCTCATTTTCAGCTGATTATCCACTAGGACTCCCACATCTTTTTCAGAGTCATTGCTTCCCAGGATAGAGTCCCTCATTCTATAAGCTGGGACTATGTTCTTTGCTCCTAGATGCATACATTTAGATTTAGCCATACTAAAATGCATATTGTTTCCTTGAACTCAACTTTCCAAGTGATCCAGTGGCCTGTCTTCATTATTTACCACTCCCCCAATTTATGTCATCTATTTTCTTCCAGGTTATTAATAAAAATATTAAATAACGTAGAGCCAAGAACTGATTCCTGCAGGACCCTATCAGAAACAAACTCATTCGATGATGAACACACCTATTTGATGACATGGTTTGATTAAAGCAGGATCCTTGATGAACCAGTTGTCCAAGTACAAGAACATGTGCACTTCCAGCTTGCACATGTACCAAACATCTTGTGAAGACATATGAATGGCTCCAAAAACATTGAATCGGTAGTGCTGTTCCCCGGTGAAAAATGTAAGATAGTTGCCAAGCACTAGAACGAGGTGGGCAAACTATGGCCCACGGTACAGTCCTGCCTGGCCCCTGAGCTCCCAGCCGAGGAGGCTATCCCTTGGCCCCTCCCCTGCTGTCCCCTCTCATCCGCAGGAATGCTGCTGTGCAGGCAGCGCGGCTTGCACCCGCCCACCTCCCAGGCTTTCAGATAAGCCTGTCCTGCCACTCTGAGCAGCATGGTAAGGGTAAGGATAACGGTACGGGGGTGCTGGATAAGGGGCAGGAGGCACTAGGGGTCAGTCAGGGGACAGGAAGATGGGGCGGAGGTTTGGGGGGAGGGCGCACGGTCAGGAGACAGGGAACGGGGGGGTTGGGTAGGGGTTGGGATCTGGGGGACAGTTAGGGATAGGGGTCCTGGGGGGGGGTTGGATAAGCGTATGGTCCCGGGGGGGGGCACCTGTCAGGGGGTGGGGGTGTGGACAGGGGTCGGGGCAGTCAGAGAACAAGGAGCAGGGGGGGTTGGATACAGTTGAGGTCCCGGGGGCGTGGTTAGGGGCGGGGGGTCCTGGGAGGGGGTGGTCAGGGGACAAGGAGCAGGGAGGGGGTTGGATGGGTCGAGGGTTCTGAGGGGGGCAGTCAGGGGGCGGAAAGTGGGAGGGGGCGCATAGGCGGAGGGGCCAGGCTGTTTGGGGAGGCACAGCCTTCCCTACCTGGCCCTTCATACTGTTTCACAACCCTGATGTGGCCCTTGGGCCAAAAAGTTTGTCCATTTCTGCATTAGAAGTATACCTGAGTCCAAAGTCCAGAGCCAGTCACTTTACCAGAGTCAGGATGAAGACCAATCACTTCTTGGACCTGGTATTGAATCAGTTCCCTAAGAGGTGATGAGTCAGAGCCTTCTCATCTTCTAATAGAAAATATCAGGGGGGAAAAAAAGCACTCTACACCTTTGAACGAGATCCCTGAGAGAGGAGACTAGACAGAGTGTGGCCTGTGTCTCATTTGCCCTTTGCAAAGAGGTCTTCACCTGCTCCCTAAACAAGTTCTCTCTGATGTCAAGTTGATCCTTGAGTTTGCTCTGGTCCACCCCAGATGCTTGCAATCAAGCAGACCTGCTGGCATCAACCCCCAAGACAGCAACACATATCACTGTTACCTGCTTTAAAGAATATCCATACCAGGCCATGACTGTGGCCTCAAAAACTAGTTAGTTCATCACACTTCCCGTGGGGAAGAGAATCTACCAGACTTGAGCTTTTTTTGCTCCACCTGACCTGTGGCCATGAAGGCTGGCAGTCCATGACATGAAGAATTGCAATCATGGACTGGCCAATACTTCATTGAAATGACTCCTAACATTGCAGCTCAGAAAGTGCTCTTGGACTTCCCTCTAGACATAGTGCCTTCATCAAACTATCAGGAGATCCCACGCAGCACCCTTTAGAAGGATATACTTCTTCTGAACCACAACATTTATGCAAGGAGTCTGCCACACATTCATCACCAGCCAGATGAAAGGGCACAACAATGCTACTTGACCGAAGATTCCTGGGCCAAGTAATTCATTTGTGCCAGAAACTGTTTAATAGAAAATCAGCCATCTGTGGGCACCAGCACTGAGACTAGAACTTCCTGCACTAGAATGCCAAGACTCAGGGAACAAGTTTCAACTCAGCGCAAAAAGTGCTTCAACTTCACCAATACAGGACAACGGAATGAACAAGGCTGATATTGTTGACTTTGTGACAACCTGACAGAAGACCAAGAGTGACTGAGACAGAAACAGTATACATGGAATCACCATCCTCCTCTCCACTTTTAGGACATGAACACAGTAGGAGAAAAACAGAGACCTTGCTATGGAGCTGCGAGCAGTCTGAGGCTTAAACAGCTTGGGGGCTGCCAGCTCTTTCAGCACCTTCAGACTTAGCCTTTTTGTACGGAAGACCTGTCTCATCCGATGAGCTAGAGCTTAGTATCAGTGACTTCGCACACCAGGTTCTGAGAGCTTCAGGAAACCTTCGGAGATGAAGCCACCTCTCTGGGCTTAGTAGGGAAGCTCGGTTTGCACCAACACAGACTCACAGAATTCAGTCTTGGCCAACTCTGACGGGTTTTCCCCTCCCAGCACTAAGGCCAGCCTTTTGCTGGACTAACAGGAATCTGCCTAGAGGCACTGCCCACATTTCTTGTGCTCAGGGCAATAGTTGCAGATGTATCTTATACCCCTTCACATTGTGGTTGACTTGACCGTGTGGCAAATATGATTGCCAGTCTTGGACATTGTTCTAATGCACTGACGAGGTTTGAAGGTGCTGGATAGACATTCTCCCTCCACTGATATCATATCTGAAATAAAAGGGGTAGGTGGGAAAGTACTGCATCAAAGAAAGCAGCAGATCAGACAACACAAGCAGCAAGCCCAGTTAAGCATGGAACAGTAAGATACCAAGATGCCCAACTTTGGTATCAGACACCTAAACTCAAGACAGCAGTGCACAGAGAATATTGGCAGCAATGCCAAGATGCCGGCCAATTCCCCCTTCCCATCTCCCACCTCCCTGAGAAATTGTCATGGTTTACCTGGGTCCCAGCATTCCTTCAACCATCCCAGCTCATGGGGGAACACTAGGATCCAGTGAACAGCTGGAGTAAGGTGCAGTCTCCCAGAGAGCTCTTTCACCTACTGAAGTCAAGAATGAACCAACTATCTTTTGGAGGACAACATATACATACGACTCCATCGTAAGTTGTCTCCATGATGGCTGTATCCTTTTTGAGTGTCCTGAGATAGGTCATTCTTTGCCCTCCATGCCTTCTCTTCCCTCCAAATAGAATCCAATTTAAGATGTACCTTGTGCTTCTACCATAGGGTAGCATAATGAAATGACCAAACCACATCACCATCTACATCCAATCATTGAGCCCACAGTCTGCTGACTCTTGCAGTGCAGCACTTCCACATTGATTACACAATCTCTCCAATGAATTTACAATATTCTTCTTAAACAACACCAGTGGAGTGCATTCAGCTTCCTTTTGTGTACTTTCACCATCTGCCACATTTCTGAGGTGTACACTAGTGCTGGAAGGACAACAGAGTTGTACAATCTCATTTTAGTGTGTAGATACTCTTACTCTTCCAGATGTTTAACAAATAGGAAAATGATCCACTGCCTTACCAATTCTTGCCTTCACTAACAAAGGGAATTGTTTTCCAAGGGAGCAGTTTCACAATGTTTATTTTCAAATTACAGTGTTTGAAAATAATCTTGACCTATACGTTTATTTAAAAAAAGGAATACAACATAAAAAGCTCCAAAGATGTTTAATCCACTATGGAAAATTAAACTAAAAATGCCCAATAATCTGATGAATATCCTTTAGAATACAGAATAGAGGATCATAACGGGAAGAAAAATAAAATGATGAAAAATATGTAAGCACAGAATATACAGTACTGCTATTGAAAAAAATCAAAATTAAAATATAGCAGCAGTAGCCAAACATTTTAAAATTTGTGACACTGAATTATTTATTTTGAGAGTTTAAAGCACATAATACCTTTAATCTCTTACAGTTTTACAAAGATATCCAAAATTCCATTCCCTTAAAATTCCCATTGTAGGAGTTGTGGAAACATTAGGCTGCCACACGATTACATATCAACAACTAAATGTACATACATATCAACCGAAGTCACTCTTCTCCTCCCATTGCTCAGTTTAATTAACTTTTGATCCTTACAAAAATGAGTTGTAGGAAAAGGGAGTTCAGCTGTCATTTGGTTTCTGTTATAGAACATACAGTAAAGGTCACTTTAATGTACACTCATCTCAAATTTTAACTATGTTGTTCTAGATTTTAAGAAAAGAAAGATAAACACCAAAAAAATCTAAAATAATATGTCATCACCAATCACAAATATTGAAAAGACCTTACTTTTTACAGAACTCGTTTTTGGATACTAAGAGTTTTCTCTTTTCCTCTGAAGTGGAAGATGAGTTTTCATGCCTTTCTGAAGTAGGAACCACACAAAACTATGAACAAATTTATTGATGTGATGCAATATGTCTTCCCAGAACAGTCCAAAAATGTACTCTGAAGTAATATAATCTCTCTTCCCACAAAGCAAACAAAAGAGTCTACAATATTCCTGCTCCCCATTCAGTATTTAAAGTGCTTGCCAAAAGGACACCAAAACAATTACATAAGTGTATATAAATATCAACACAAACTAAAAAATAGCCCCAAAGCAGCATGATAATCTAGTGGGTATTCTCCCTTCCATATTAAAGTATTCAAATGTAAAGAAAGTATTTCCTTAGGCCTTTGCAATATATAGTTGAGGAGGAGAAGGTTAAGCACAACAATGTTATATAAACTCATCTCGATTTCCATTGCATCATTTTGCAATCACTCTGACAGCTGTGTCAGACAGCTAAATGAAGTACGGGAAATGCTTCTGTACTTCACCATGTAGGGGTCACACTTATTTCCATTCAAGGGCACTGATCTATTTTAAAAATAAGTATTTATTGTGTTATGGTATAAACACACCAAACAGAAAACAAATGTATAAACAATCTGAATATTGATATAAAAGCAAAGCAAGGTAGTTTGGAGCAAATTCTGTTGCCACTTCATATGAGGAACTCCCACTGACAGACAAGAGTTCAACACACAGGGCAAAATTCACCCATGGGGAGGGCCAACACCACTTACACCTAATGTAAACTCTATTTTGAGACAGCACAGCACTATCAGAGTAATTTCACTATTTTCAGAACATAAGTGGTGCACAGGCTTTGTGCTGGTCCTCTCTACAGGGTGAATTTTATTTATCAAACAGCAACAGCACTCAGAATCCACGACAGTTAACTTGTTATGCTTTCTCTTCTAATATACCTTGCTTTTTTGGTTTTAAATAAGAATATCCATGTTACTTTAACACGGTTTTCATATTTTCTTGTTTTAAAACAGCAGCATAAATGAGGCCAGCTATTTGATTATTTACTTATTCATCTCTATGTTAATCCATACAATGGTGCTGATAGGTGAATCAAAGTATAATGCTAAACACTACAGCATGTATCTTTGATAAGATGCAGTGCATTATAAAGCTTCTTCAAACCATTATATTGTATTATCACAATCCACAGTATGAAAACAATTACATCAATCTTTGACATGATGCACTGTAATAATTCTTTCAGAGGCATTAAGTTGTGTCACAGTACCATTTCTTTACTGTGGATTAGCAAGTGAATATTTGACATGATCCATTATGTGAACCAGCTGTAGGAAGAGAAATACATGGAATTTTGCAAGATACATCAAGTCAATCAGTAATACAGAGCAAGTAAGTTAATAAGAAATAGATTAAATATTCATAAAAAGTTACTGCTCATGCATAGTAACAGTTTGCAGATACTAATAACTGGATCGTTATGATTAACTTACATCTGCAAATTCATGCTAAATACAGGTTAGTTATAATTAGGAGCACAACTGTTTCAATTCTGAAAGTGATTTTTGGCTCTTAACAGAAACTGACAGATTTTCCCCCCTTTAAAAAAAAGTGTTTATTGTGAAAGTATATGTACACCAAATTTATATTCACAACTACTTTTTACTGTTGAGTTTTAAAGGCCAAAAAGGGTTTCTAATATAATAGAAAAGATAGTAGAGTAGCCCTACTTTACTGATAATATCCATAATTCAATGGCTGTACAAAGCTGATCCATTTGATTTCTACCCACCCTGAGTTCACCATTTACACTTTTTAAAATTTATATTTTAAACATTAGATAACATACAGAAGTATGTACAAGGCTATACAATTTGTCGATTATACAGCAGTAAAAAAATATTTGAATATTTTTGGCCAATTTTTTAGTTCTATTTTGTTTTTTTAAGTTTAGCTGTTTCTGGTTCTTATTTTAAAAATAAAGTAAATGGTTATTTGATTTAGACATTTGTTTATTGACTACATTTTTTTTTAAGGAGTCAACAATAAGGCAACAGTAAAAACAGCATTGTTATAGAAATGTTGCATATATGTAAAGGTAGTAAGTTTATAAAAGACATCAGTGTTTTCTAAAAAGACATCCTAGTTGTAGTATCATAAAATTACACAGTGGTGAGAACAATTACCTATTTTTCAACAATTATTTCTCTGTAGAAAAAAGTTAATCTAGCTGTAATTAAAGTTTTGTGAAGAAAAAGCTGGAAAAAAATTGTTATGCCTGTGGGACAAGCAAGTTAAGAAAATATACTTTTGTCTAAACTTAAATAAAAAGGTCCACACTTTTGTGTCAAAACATTAAGCCTCTGTCAAAAATGTATTTCTTTCTTTATAGTACAGGATTAAAGACAAGATGATGCTTACAAGGTAAAGAAATAATTTACAAGAAAATATATTCTGACAAAGCTTTTCAATCAAAATATTGTTTTGTAACATTCAAACATGACATACAACAACAAAAACAGCAACAAACAAAAATGTTATATGGATTGTTTTCAAACACATAAATAAATGAAATATTGTGTAGGCGGTAGGGCTCATGCTGATGGCTAGCAGGAAGTAACAGTGTGCAATCTACATGGAAAAAAGTTCTAATGTACAAATTACAGGCCCAATTGTGGACTGCAGCAAATTTAATTATATCACTGCCATTTTCTTGTATCTCCAAAAGTAAGTCTTGATTAAGCCACTCATACCCAATTATTACTCATATCTTTGCTTTAGAGATATGAGTAACTACCATACAAAAAAGGTATTTTTATTTCACCATAGGGATAACATTGTACCTCTCTCCCAATGTCACTTGAAAACCTTCCATGTCAAAACAATTTGACAGCAGATAAACAATTTAATAAATATGATCTTATTACAGTCCTTTAGCGAAGCATGTTAATTATGCTGCTAGTTTTGCGATCACATGGCACAGAATCCAAATATAAAAGAATGGGATGGTTTCAAAGTAATGTTGGATCCCTTGCTTATAATCCCAAAATATCTGAAACTTTCCATAAGCCCTACCATCCAATCAATTTATTTTGCAGCAGGATCAAAACTTTTCTTGGTATAACATCCATTGCCGGCAATGGATGCCATAAAACTGCCAAGGAGTTCAACTGTTATTGCACAATACATGAAGACCTGGATTTCTGCCAAAAGCTTAAAAATAAAAATAAATGGAATTTTTCTGACATTTCCAGACACCTGCATTAATACTGTATGACTAATAAAAGCATGTCAAGTTGCATGGACTGAACCAGCGATCAACATGCGCCCAGAATGCACACTAGTAAGAATGCAGTCAAAGGAAGTAGTCTTCATTGTCTATAGGTCACTTCCAGTCAAAGGTTAAAGTTCAAAGACTGAATGATCAAAGTGCTCATTTTCTCAGTAGGACAATCTTCTGCTTGGAGGATCACAAAGTGGTGACATCAACAGGTGTCATCTTTAAAACAAAAAAAGATTTATGGAAAACAAATATACATTCAAATCCCAATTTTCTGAGAGGTACAGATTCAGAAGCAACTCCTAGCATATATGTTACCACATAGGTGAAAGTACAACAAATGTCTAACACTGCTGTTTTAAGGAAATTGAATTCAGATTACAAAGCAAGATAAAAAACTATGAAACTTTGCCCAGTGATACATAGTGACTTTAGGAAAAATGTGTTTATCAAAATTATGATTGATTAATGTTGGTATATACTAATCTCATTACAAAAGACCGTTATTTTTCACATTAAATATTTTGTATTCAATATTTAATGATCCAGACAATCCATTGTAAACCTGAAATTAAAAATCTGTTTCTTCTCAGCATTTTGCCCCTTCACTGTACACACTACGCATCTTAGTTTTGATGCTTTGAGCTTTTGATGACTAAGAAATGCTCTTGAGAGATTAAAGAAATACACAGACTTTGCAAACAGAAGAAAAAATACTAGGGAGGCCACATTTTGAGCAAACCATACTGTCACCTACAACTGAGTTCAAACTACACAAGATTTTTCACCATTTATTTGAAAAAAGTTATTTGACAAGCTGGATTACTCAAGAAGTGGCTTCCTGACCAATATAGGCAAGATATATTACAAAGTTACGTACAATTGTATGAGAAGGTGGTAAGCATAAACTTCAATAGAAGCATGCATCCGACGAAGTCGGTATTCACCCACAAAAGCTTATGCTCCAATACGTCTGTTAGTCTATAAGGTGCCACAGGACTCTTTGCCACTTCAACAGAAGGGGAGAAGATTGCTATTCCCTGCCACAAATGAGTGTGTCTTAGGAACCACCACAAAAACTGTAGTTGGTGTAATAAAGTTGACATTGTAAACCTAAAGTCTTTCACATACATTGAATTGATGGAAAAAAATTCTATGTAATTGCTCCCACACAATTCCCTAGTAAAACACAATATTAATGGCAACACACTAACTTTCAGATGTGTTTCTTGTTTCCGAATATTCCAAAAGTCATTGGAAGACTTTCAATATGTCCACAAAAATGGTCTAAGTTAAAGACAGTTGAATAAATTAAGCTTGGATCCGTCTCAGAGGATATGTCTACATGTCAATAAAACAGCTGTGGCTGGCCTGTGTCACCTGACTTGGGCTCAGCCTGTGGGCTTTGGGATCCAGCAAGATGGGATGGTCCCAGAGCCCAAACTCCAGCTTGAGCCCAAATGCCTACATTGCAGTGTTATAGTCCTCCAAGCCAAGTGAACTGACATGGGCCAGCCACTGATGTTTTACTGCAGTGTAGACATACTCTAAAGCACACACACGGGGGGGGGTACCCATTCGTACTCTAAGGGAAATGCCAGTTTTGTCAGGCTTTTTTTCCCCTCCCATAGTTCCCAATGCTACTGCAGCTATTTCTGCCTTTTAAAATCTCTTCCAAATCTCATCTTACAGTGGAGTTGTTCACCATTTTTTAGAGAACTGTGTAATGAAATGTCTTACTCAAATATATATGTCAAATAATGTTAGAGAAATGAATGTTATAAATGTAGTATTATAAGAATAAGAATATATAAAGGAATTTTGGCTTTTTGAATGCGTTTCTACTGATGCAGCATTTCAGAACTCAGCTGAAACTGCTTCAAGGTTGTGTAAACTGTGACACTTGGGTTCTGTGTCTTATTTGTGAAACTTTTGGTCTATGTAAATAGCAAGATGAAACAGAATGACAAGAGGGCTCCAGGTGTGGCCCCTGCAACAAGACAAGCTAACAAGTAAAAGCTCAAGGCCATAAAAATAGATCAGTAAGAAGGATAACTGCTATTGTAAGGTAAGAACTGGATAGAGCCAGAGGTGGTGACAGCAGAGATTAGATAGAAGTAGACAGATAAAAGTAAATTTTAGCAGGATAATGCAAAAATGTATTAGTTCAGGTTAGTTATTGTGATTTATGCATGAGAATATTTTAATTATATAGGTACACAGATGAGGTAACTTGGTAAACAGAGTCTGCACAACGTTATCAAACAAGGGATACAAGATAAGTGATTAACAACAAGAGAGTGGAGAAGACACGGGGAAAACATACCAGAGATCTGAAAAGAGTCTCTGTCCTCAGGAGAGGTAATCTGGCCATTTACTTTTCTTGCCTTATCTGTTTTTGCATGTATATCTAATTCTGAGGTGAGAATAGTATTGTCTTAAAATGTACATAATAAAGGCTACAAGAAACTGTTTAAGCCTAAATAAAAAAATGAGTGTTGACCTTATCAATATTTCTGTACACACTAAACTTAAAAAAATGTTTATATTTTAAATTAAATATACTCCCCACTCCATCCTGATGGCAAGATACTCTGTCCTTGGTAACAGTACATGAAAAGAAGATTTCATAGCACCAGAAGGAGGGTGAAGAACTAAAACTCTTCGTTTACAAGTTGGACAGGATGCATTGGAGGTAAAGAGCGAGTATCTGAACCATCTACAGATAGTCCTGTAAGGGTGTCAGGAAAAGCACTTCCCAGGAAAAGCAGCAGCAATCAACAACACTGTTTGGGGACAAACACCATCCAGCTTCCACAGGAATCTATGTCCTGCCTAGGTAGGCGAGGCTCATGAACACACATCAAACACCTTAAGTGACACTGTTTTTTTGGAATCTGAGACAAAATCCCCAAAGAGCTACAATCAGATGGGGTGAAGGCAGATCTGAGAACAACCATATGCCTGTGTCACTATAAAGGCTCCCACTTAAGCGTTATTCCAACTTGCGTGGCTATGATCGGAATACCAACTACTTCTTGGAGAAGGGGAAAATGTTTCGTTCCCCTGAAATAGGGAGATGGAAAAATGGGACTGACTGCTTCCTCTTCCTTTGAAAAGGGCAGATCACAACAACTTCTTAAGAGTATATAAGGCTGAGGACAGCTCTTCTGCAGAAGCAGGAAGATCAGCTCTCAAGCTAAGCTTCCCAACTTCCCACAATTCAGCACATCTTCAATCAAAGGAATTAGATTTTAAACAATCTCCTTTTAACTCCCCCTGCTAGTGCCATTGTCATATAGCAGCAGCAGAGGATTTTTAACTACAGTACGTGCAATTAAGAAGAGAGGATAGTAAGGGCAATATAGGATACACCTGAGGGAATTCTGGACCAAAACATTAAACATTCTGTGCCAAAAAAATAAAATTTCTGAACACTATATTCTAAAATTCTGCAAAAATCTGCATATTTTATTCATCAATAAATAAATGTGGAGGCTCCAGCATAGTAGTGGGGAGCAAAGGCCACTGGCTGCACAGCAATGGGAGATCACCCTGCCGCCCCTCACCTCCCACCGAGGGACACGGACTCAGCGGTGAGGCTGCACCTGACCCTGACACAGGCAAGGGCTTGGTCTGCCACAGAAACATCCCAGGGCCCTGCCCCTCCATGACTGGTGCACCAAGATAGTAAATGGGAGGGACAGAGTCTCACACTTGCCCAGCTGTGGGGCAAGCAGGCTTAGCCTGGCAGGATCCAAGTGTGGAGGGGCTTAGTGTGTGTGGGGGGATCCAGGTGTGGGGTGAGAGAGTTGTGTGTGTGGAGGCAATCTGGGTCTGGGCAACTCAGTGAGGGGTCTGGGGGGGGGGATGTGGACGTACAGGGGCTTGTTGGGGTGTTCTGAGTGCAGGGGGAATGGGAGTCTGCAGGGGGTCCAAGTGAAGGTGGTTGGGGCTCAGCAGAGGGGTGTTTGGGTGTGGGGCTCGGGGGAGGTCTGCATGTGAGGGGGCTCAGCAGGGATGTCTGGGTGCTGGGGGGAGTGGAGGTCTGGGTGCAGCTGGTTGGGGCTCAGTGGGGTTGGGATGCAGTGGGATCATCTGGGTAGTGGGGCTTGTTGGGGTGAGCTCAATAGGGGGTGGTCTGGGTGCAGGGCAGGGGCTCAGCAGAGCTCTGGATGCAAGCGGTAGTGGAGATTGGTGGGGGTTGAGTCCAGTGCCGGGGGAGGGGAGTCTGGGTGTGAGGGGGTGTCCAGACACAGGGATTTGGTGGACAGGGGAGCTCCTCCCTGAACAGTGACCCCTCCTCCTGTGGCTGAAAATGGGGGCAGGAAGCGGGGGGGTGGGGGTAGGGTAACTTCCTGCAGCCAGGGAGGTTTCAGGGGGTGGGTCTGACTCAGCCCAGTCTGCTCCTTGCAGGGGAAGAAGAAGTCCTATCTTCCTCTGCCCCCAGCCCAGCCAGGACTAACAGCTGAGCCCAGCGCAGGGTAGGAGCCAGCAGCTGGGATATCCCCAGCCTCACTTCCCTCCTGTGGTGATTTACCTCTCTGAGGGCTGCTCCGGGGGCCTGAAATGACACACTCACGCTGCTGAGGAGGGGCGCGTGACTGCTCTTGAGGCTTCCCTTTGCTTCCCCATCTTTTTCTGCGAGGAAGCAAAGAAATCTGCGGGGGACATTAATTCTGCACATGCCCAGTGGCACAGACTTCCCCAAAAGTAATAGGTTCTCTTGAAACCTGAACACCTCAAAGCACACTACGGTACATTTAGTAGTCAGTAGCAGGTTTCACATTGCCAGATAGTTCGCAGCAAGCTAGTGTTCTGTAAATTCACATTCTGGCTTGCTATGCAGTAACTCACCAGATAGACAAGCTCCGAGACAAATTTAAAATTTAATAGTCCAGTATTGCTTCAGAATTGACACTTACTTTTAAAGAACTGAGCAAAGAGGAGACCATCACATCTTTGATAATTAGCAACTAGGAAAGGAAGTTAAAATTGATTTAGGTGTTATATATGTGAAAACTTTCCAATTTCAGCAGCATGAGCCATTTTTTAAACAGACTTGTCCTTTCCTGACTGTAACCTTCCCAAGTTTGAGTTGATCTCTCTCTATTTTTATCTACTGTTACCCAGTTTTGTTCTGCAATTACTCGATTTTTCTGCCTTTCAAGCAGAAAAGAATGGCTGGAGAATTTTCCACTGTGTAAAGAACCATTTATCTGGCAGGTGAATCTTGCCCATATGCTCAGGGTTTAGCTGATCACCCTATTTGGGGTCGGGAAGGAATTTTCCTCCAGGGCAGATTGGAAGAGGCCCTGGAGGTTTTTCGCCCTCCTCTGTAGCATGGGGCACGGGTCACTTGCTGGAGGATTCTCTGCTCCTTGAAGTCTTTAAACCACGACTTGAGGACTTCAATAGCTCAGACATAGGTGAGAGGTTTTTCGCAGGAGTGGGTGGGTGAGATTATGTGGCCTGCGTTGTGCAGGAGGTCAGATCAGATGATCATAATGGTCCCTTCTGACCTTAGTATCTATGAATCTATTTGATGACTAGTTGAATGGAAATAGAAGTTTAACCACTATACAACCGCTAGTGATCAACCTTCAGAATCAGATAATCATGTTTATTTTTATAGCTAGATTTTCACTCTCAAATCCAATTTTTCACTTGTAGGAAAACTGGAGTAGCACCTAGAGATTGCTACTCAGCAGAGACTTCAGCCCTAAATCCTAAAGAAGAGTCTCATCTTCTCTGACACAAATTAAGATTAAAATTAGAGCAGATCTCATCACAAAATGAAAACTATTAACTAGTCTTCTTGGAAGATGACTACCAAGAGGAAATAAGGTAATTAAGAAAAAAATCTTCCTTGTGTCAATTCCATCAAATCCTCTCGCTCTGTGCTCTGTTCAATGCCATATTTTATTTCACATCATACCTTAACATCTTCCTTTATGATATCCCTCCACTTCTTTCTGGGTTGGCCTGTCATCTTTTTCCTTCAGTCTTGTTCTGTTCCTTACCCACATAGTTGTCAGAATTGCTTTTTACATAGTTGTCAGAATTGCTTTTTACATGACAAAGCCACATGAGCCTGCACTCCCTCATTTTTTTGTTTATGGGCGTTACCTTTGAGTACTTCTCTTAACACACACATTCCTCACGTGTTCTTGGTTACGCCACTCATCTCTCAACCTTGACATTTCTGTGGAACAGATTGTTTACTCATGTTTCTTTGTTGCCCAACACTCAGGGCCATACATTAAAACTAGAAGTTTTATAGACTTTCCCTTTCAATCTTACTGGTTTCATCCTGTAACATATTACACCACTTATAGCGCTCCATTTGAGCCAGGCATTTATTATCTTAGCTCTAATTTTATCCTTCATTTCCCCAGATTCTGGAGCCCACACACTTGAAACTTTGCATTTTTGGTATTGTATGCCCATCTAGTTTCAGGGATAATTCTTCAGTGCTCACATCCTCAAGAAAAATATTATATATTTCTCCAGAATTAACCAGAGCAACAGAAAAAACATGTTACAAGAGAAGAAAGGGGATGTGATTTTTGAAATGTTCCTGAAACATCACATTTGTCTTGTGGATGACAGGATTTCTATTCTTTAACTCTGGGCTCAATTTTTAAACTGAAAATAAGATAATGTACATGCAAACGATAAACAGATTAAAGTTACAAAATATATATCAGTGCAGCTGATACTGTTCAATTCTCATTGGAAACAGAGTAATACCCTACGTCAAATTCTACTAGAAAAGAGTATTTACACTGAAGAATCTTAGCCCTGGTCTACACTAGGACTTTAGGTCGAATTTAGCAGCATTAAATCGATGTAAACCTGCACCCGTCCACACGATGAAGCCCTTTATTTCAACTTAAAGGGCTCTTAAAATCGATTTCCTTACTCCACCCCTGACAAGTGGATTAGCGTTTAAATCGGCCTTGCTGGCTTGGATTTGGGGTACTGTGGACACAATTCGACGGTATTGGCCTCCGGGAGCTATCCCAGAGTGCTCCGTTGTGACCACTCTGGACAGCACTCTCAACTCAGATGCACGATTGTTTGCCGTTGCTCTGACGCAGGGAGGGGCAACTGAGGACACGGCTTACAGGGTTGGCTTCAGGGAGCTAAAAATCAACAAAGGGGGTGGCTTTACATCAAGGAGTATTTCAGGCAGGACTTCACGGAGGGTTCCAATAAGAAATGGTGCACCTAAGTTATTGTTCTTATTGGAACAAGGAGGTTAGCCTGGCCTCTGATTGATACATGGCTAGATTTACCTCGCTGCACCTTCTCTGTGAGTGACTGCAGTGTGACCTAGAGGAATGAGTCCCCTAGACAGGGGAGGAGGCAAATGAGTACAAAACAAATCTGGTCTATTTCTTGTTTTGATCCACTCCATCTATCTTTTACATCTTTGGCTGGCAGCAGACGGTGCAGAAGGACTGCATGCCATCCACATCTCATGGCTGCCCGGCAGAAGATGGTACAGTACGACTGCTAGCCATCCTCATCTCTTGCCTGCCCGGCAGAAGATGGTACAGTACGACTGCTAGCAATCCGTATCGCCTGCCTGCTCACCATAAGACGGTTCAATAGGACTGACTGCAGGACTAAAGAGAATGACCTGGTCAAGTCACTCCAAATTTAGTCCCTGCGCCCATGTCTGCCCAGGCGCTCCCAGCCGACGTGGCCAGGAGCACCTCGGACACGACGAGGACGGCTACCAGTCGTATTGCACCGTCTGCTGCCAGAAGGCAATGGGTCACTGCTACTGTGTAGCAATGCCGTACCGCGTCTGCCAGCACCCAGGAGACATACGGTGACGGTTACCTGAGCAGGCTCCATGCTTGCCGTGGTATGGCATCTGCACAGGTAATTCAGGAAAAAAGGCGCGAAACGATTGTCTGCCCTTGCTTTCACGGAGGGAGGGAGGGAAGGGGGGCCTGACGATATGTACCCAGAACCACCCGCGACAATGTTTTAGCACCATCAGGCATTGGGATCTCAACCCAGAATTCCAATGGGCAGCGGAGACTGCGGGAACTGTGGGATAGCTATCCAAAGTGCAACGCTCCGGAAGTCGACTCTAGCCTCGGTACTGTGGAAGCACTCCGCCGAGTTAATGCACTTAATGCACTTAGAGCATTTTCTGTGGGGACACACACACTCGAATATATAAAACCAATTTCTAAAAAACCGACTTCTATAAATTCGACCTTATTCCGTAGTGTAGACATACCCTTAGGAACTCTAATTCTGAAAATCAGGGGAAAACAGCTCCCGGGTGCACTTTTTTGGGGTGAGTTGCAGCAAGTCTTCCAATGCCAAGTAATGACAATCATCCAAGATATTTATTCTTCAATTAAAATATCCCATATATACTTATTTCAGAGAACATTGTATTAAATGTACTTTACCAACACATGATTATATTTAATAGATCAGGGTTATCATATTAAAATAATTACATTCAAATTACATAGAAAAGCATTCTGGTTTTGCTAACCTCTTTAGTATTCATCTAGAATTGCTATAGCTAAGATCTTTACTCAATTTGTTCCCAAACAACTTTAGAAGCACTAATCATCATACATCTTTTCTTTTTCATGTCTCTTACTTTCAGCTTCTTTTTATTTGTATCAGCAATTTCCAAAATCTGTTGCTCATAAAAATTCACAATGCGAGTAGAATCAACCAATTATTCTGACTGATTTTCTCCACTCTTAAACTTCTGTTTTACATCCTGATCTGGTCTACAAATATCCATTTAAGTTTGCATATTTAAAACCCTAACTCAGTTTTGCTACTAAAATATAATTTATTCTTTTACAAAAATCTTTTATTTGGTGTCCCGGGAAAAGTTTTTATGTTCCAAATTCGCTAAGCTTAAGTGTTTAAAATTACTTAAAATCCTACTTTGTATTGTTACTCTTTTGCACTCAGCCTAGCAGTCCTCTGAAATGCCTACTCCAAATTACATACTTACCATGATACCACCATTTTGTTTTCTTTGGATTTTTGTTACATGTTCTTACATAAAATGAATTATCTGGAGGTCGCCTCTGCAATAGAAAAAAAACCTAAAAATAATCAAATAATCAATATATCACTTACAGTATATTATCTATTTAAATAAACTTTTACATTCAAAAAATAAATGCCATACATTTTGTAAAATGTGTTAAAAGTAGGACTAAGCCCTGTCTACACTGATCAGGAAAGTCACTTTAGCACCCTTTTAGCAAGAACTTTAAGCAGAGATACCCAGACAGAGCAAAAAAGTTTGCAAATTTTTCAGAACGTTTGGACAAAGAAAACTAATTATTCACTCTTATTTGCAAAAGCAAATGTAACTAAAACCACTATCAAACTAAAATACTTCTGAAGTTTGGCTTCAATGTGTCACAAGTATAGTTTTGAATCCCAGTCTATATGAAGTTTCTCATAGCTTGGTGAGATTGACCAGATGGACTTGGGTTACACCTTCACTCACGAAGATCTGCAGCCTACCAATAGCCTAATGAGTAGTGCACTTCTCTGAAAAAAGTCACGGGGTGGTCACAGTGAAAAGGGAAGAGTCACAGAAATAATAAATAGTTATAAGCATTGTTTTGTACCCCAATAATATATATTTTCCTGCAAATAATCAGAACTGAAATTGTGATGTGTTGAGAATAAACATCTGGCAAAACAGCATCATTCCAGAACTGACTGCTGTAAAACAAATCTAACTCCAATTTGAAGTGTGATCTTACTCTGAAAAATTTTTATGTAAAAAAATTGAGCCTCAGTGGATCTGCTCCATGTGCCATATCTGCTTACTTTAGAGACAAAAATTTACTGTCAGCTGTGTGGGCTCTTCTGTGCTAAGAAAACAAACTGGAAAAATGAAGGATGAGAAAAAAATAACCTATTAATGTATCCTACTTCAATTAATTTGGTTCTTTACAAATAGAAAATTGTTTCCTCCTACAAAATCTTTATAACAAGTCAACATCTGCACTACTCAAAACATTTCAGTGTTTTAAGTTATGGTATACTTGTTTGCATATTAGAAAAAAGGTAATATTATTCAAGTGTGAGAAATATAGACTTTGGAAAAAGTAGAAAACTTGCAGCTTTCATTTATTTTACTCTGAGTGCATTATAAAAAAAAACAAACATACCTTTTCTTTGCAGCTGGAAAGCATGCTAATAATGCTAAGACAAACTGATTGCACTGAGAGAGCTGGGGACCAGTCTTCTGTTAGAATGGATAAACAGATATGACCATTGCTATAAACATGAGGATGAACAGGAATATTGTCACCAGTAAACATGACCTAAAAAAGAATAAAATACGGTTAGCATTTGTTAACATTTAAATGAGAAACAGACGTGCTTGTGTCTTCTGGAAACAGTAATGCCTTATATTCAAAAGCCAGATTGTGCCATCTGTTCTTACCCTGAGAAGTATCTTACTCTGTTTGTAGTTCCATTGATTTCAGCAAGACTTTTTGCTGAGTAAGGTACTAATTAACATAAGGATGGCAGAATCTGGTCCAAAATGACTTGTACTTATGACAGAAAGAACTAGTGTGAAGAACTGAAAGGTTAAATGTAATCACTACTTATAAAGAGCAGTGCAGCACAGAAACGTGCAAAGACAGCTTCTCTAAATTATAGCGATATAAAGACATCACAAAGCTTTCATGAAAATTTTTTCAGTCTTAAAGCCTCATCTTATTCTTCTATAGAGAAAGGACTATGGACTGGCTACCCACCACACTGTGTTTCAGTGGTTCCATAATCTACAACATTATTCAACTGGAAATACCACGAGATTCATAAATGAGTAAGTCTCCTAACAACAAATACAATAGAAATGTAAGTTCTGGGAAACTGATTTTCCCAGCAGAAAAAAAAACCTTGGTAATTAATGCTACAGACTAACAAAAAGTTGTGATTTATAAAACCACAGAATGCTGCCACATATGAAATATATAATTTTAGATTATACTCTATCTGAAGGATGATTTTGAGGTGGACAAAATAACACAAGAAAAAAAGTGTTCAGAAATAGACAGGAATCAAATTAGAGTCACATTGCCATGGTCAAAACAAGGAAAGAAGAGTGATCGTGGCAACTACTGCCCGTAAGTCAACCTTCTATCACTAATCAAATATAAAATTGACCCAGAATTCAAAGACGGGACAAGGGAAGTGGAGGGAAAGAAGCACCCTCAGCAGCCAGCATTACTCAACTCTTCATCCAATCCCCTCACCCAACCATCAACAACTTCCCACAGTATTCACCCATCACCAGATGATGTAATAACTCCCTTTTATCTATATATTTTTATGGCCTACTGTGTGAGAGCTTCCCAAATATTTTATGGATACATTCTCACAACATCCCATAAGGTAGGGAAGCATCCTCATCACCAGTTTATAGATGGGGAACTGATACAGAAAAATTAAACAACCTGCGCAATGTCACCTAGGACCTCCCTGTTACAGGAAATAAAGTCAGATCTTCTGAGTTCCAGCTCAGTGCCTTAACCACAAGACCACCCTCCTCACTTCACTTTGCACTTTTATACTGCTATTACTGGTATTCCTAAAATACTGAAGGTTTTATTTTTTCAGACATCCAGCAATATATTTCTTTTTCAAACTAATGTCTCTCCATTCAAAAAATAAAACCTATGCACAACTCAGTAAGCAAATGCATGCACACTATGAGATAACATACATTTGAGACAGAAAACAACTTAGTGCTTAAGTGACAGAAGTTTAAACTGTTATTTTACTCTATATATGCACTTTTTTTTGAATCAAGGTGTTAAATTATACAAGACGCACTTATTATATGGCAGAATTTTTATTAAGGGAGTTCTGGCTATCTTCAACAGTCAAGCATCCCTTACTTAAATACTTAATTGTTTTCTGTACTAACCAGTGTACATGTATTGGTCTGTTTACTGTTTTACAATAAGTTGCACACAGCCACACACACACTTTGGGTAATGAGTACAAAGAGGACCTACTTGGAACCAAATGAAAGTGGCTACCCTCTTGTGGATCACCTATGAGTACTTCACTGCAAACCTGATGGGTGCAGATGTGCGGGTGCCAGTTTGTTCCTTAAAACCTAAGACTGAAAAGTCAGCATTCTAGTTTTTACCACAGTACCTAAACATATCTTTGTGGTTAAGCTTTTCGTATGGCTTTTTGAATGAGTTGCAATAAATATGTCTCCATAGAAATCACCACAATTCGTACTAATTCACAAACTCAGAACTTTCAGCTGAGAGGTCAAAACTGAATGGACATGAAGACTAAAAGTACTCTCACTCCAGGCTTTTCCTCCTTTTTTCAGGGGGTAGAGAGAGGGTTTTCTGCCAACCCACCTTCCCCTTGAAAGCCACACTTTGTAACCTTCCCTCTGGTTGTGGAGGGTGAATGTAGCTCAGCATTGAAATTGCTCCTTTAGTTGGTTTGATGTCACTAGAGATTAACATAGCAATCTTTCCAACAGGACAGTGTACTTCCTCTGCAGCTCCTGCTGCTGATTCAAGAAAAAATGAACCAAGTTTGTTCCTTAACTCATGTAGTACCAACAGATTATCAAGCTTCTCCTACCATGCCACAACACCTATGTTTGTGCTCCCCTGCCACAATCACAGCTGTGGTCCTACCGACAGTACTTCCCTAGCAGTACCGACAGGAGCAGCAGAGAAACTGCAAGGAAAGTGACATTAAGGAGCAGCACCGGGGTTTGGACGCAAGAATAGAGGAAAAAAGAAGTTTATCATCCACTCTATTTCTACATTCCAAAAGCAGAGAATCACTGCCCCTGTGTTGCTCTTTCATTGGTCAGAAAAAATCCCCAAGAGGATTCAAGTGACACTCAGAAATGTCAGATTTACTCTGTTCTTCCTAGGAGAACAAGTGGACATATTTCTCCACTGCAGAAACATGTTTAAAAGAGGTGGCAACTGCACAATTGAGTGTACAATTGAAACCCATGTAACTAACACAGAACCTTAAAATTACGAGAAGTGTGGACAATGCATATTCAGCATATACCATGCAGTTATAATCTAAAAAAATGGCAGGTAAGCGGGAGGGAGAGAGAAACTAATTACCTGAGGAGAATCAAAGGGATATCGACTACTGAACTTAAATAGAAGTTGAAATTTCTCCCCTTCATATAATGTACCTGGAGCACCTTCCATATCTACGATCCACCTAAAAAACAGACAGAAATCTTTAGTAATATAATCCAGCAATTTAAAATAAAATATAAAAGAATAACGGAATGAACTACCTATTATGGCACCACTACTGAACTATGCTTCGGTATCACAATGACCATGAAAGCAAAAGTAAATACAAATGGAAATTAACACCAAACCTCCGTATGTGAGAAACAAGTTTGGTATTTTATAATACTCAAACTTTGTTATAGTGTTGTAGCTTATACAAGCAGCAATGCCTAAGGAAATAAATACAAAATGTGTTTCCCTATAAAATGCCTATTTGTACTCACAAGAGAAGTAAAGCCCAAGTTGAAAGACTGGTAATATGTCCACCCCCCAGTCTCATTACCAAGTCTACAACTTGTGTGATGATTATTTCTATCCCCTTCCACAGATGAAAGCAGACTCCCTTTCCATTTTATTTTACTTTTTTGCCAGGGAAATTTAAGAATAATAGAAATGTCACAAATAACATGCAGTTTACTAATATTAAATCAGAATCAAAAGGGCCATGCTCCTTTCCCTGACTCACATCTGCAAAAATGTCACATATGATGCTATATAGAACTTAGCAACAAAGAGAATGTGAAGGTTAGCAAGACAATAGCAGACTACAAAAGTAGTAACTGATTTGCAAACTAATCTACTTCAATCACTGAGCTCCTCTTTAAAGGTTGTGCAATAATAAAAGAAACTGATAGGCCAAAAAGGTACCTGTAAAATATATATAATCAGTAACTTAAAGGGAAAAACTGTCTAAAAGGCAGGAAATGCATAGTTAAAGTCCAACTATTTTGAAAAGTAACTAAAAATGGTGTCAGAGGGTTGCATGTCTATATTGTCTCAATTATACATGTCAGATATGCTCCAAGTTTTATCAACATTCCCTTATGATGATCTACATATCTCACTTATGGCTTTGCTGCTTAATGTAATGGACACCCCACATTGATGCGAATAAAACCTTTCTAGTGTACACATTTTTTTCAGACATACAGATACAATGGCAAATAAAAGCATATACCAGCTTATACGTTATTTCTGAAAAAACACAAAAATATTCAGATCAAACCATCACTCTCCATAATTAGTTTCCTGAAAGAGTCTGAAGATTTGCTCTTGGTTCCCATCATCTTACCCTCAAGCTATTTTAATATTCATGTAGACCACTCATCCACACTTGCTGTAGTTCAATATCTTACTCTCCTCTATTCTTTTAACCCATTGCCACATGCTACAAGGGCCATACAGAACATGGACCTTTCTCTGGATCATACAATAACCATGTGACATTTCAATAAATCACAATATTTTATTTCCTTCTGCCTCAGTCTCCCCCGCATCATGATTTAATGTCAAAATCTACCTTGATGGCAGTGACTGAGGTATTTAGAAGTGAAAGGTATAGTTTGCTTATAGTCTTTTCCCCATTCCTGTTGATGTCAAAGCATGGACTGATCTCTCATCACCTTCTCTGCAGTTTTAGATAAAACTGAATGCTTAGCATCCCTTCAGATTTTGCTCTCCTGAGTTCAAAATTGTTTGGGCACACCGAACAGACAAAGGAAATCCAAATGAGAGATTGTTGACTAAGAGGGATACCCACTTGATTTAATGCAAAATGTAGATAATGTCAAACTACTTTAGACTAATACTTTTGATCTAGAATGGTTTGCCAGAATTTAATTCTGTTCTGTCAGATAATGCATAGGCACATTTAGGCTGATTTTTAAAAAATTCCAGACAAAAAAGTTTTTTATTCTATAAAAAAAAAAGTGCAAGCATCATTGACCCAGACAGTGAAATGTATCGTACTGTAGATTATAACCCAGTTTATCAGTTACTAGTGAACATATTAAACAGTGTACTTGTGAACCATATCACTTTTTTTATATCCATGGATCAACAGGAGCAATTATTACTCTAGAAAAAATAATATTTCACTTGTCTATAATTTGAGCTAATGTAGAAAATATGAAAAGTATTTACACACTCACTGTGTAATTGAATTTTGAACACTCTTTTCATTTAAAGTCATTCCTGGAGGTGGGTCATTCTGCAAAGCCAACAGTTCTTTTTGTAGTCTCTTCTAAAAAGAATATAAATAGGATTTGAAATATTGCATAAACTATGTATTACAATAAAGCTAATTAATTTACAGTACATTTTGCTGTTTAATAAAAGCAAAACAATAAGCTCTTTTTGCCAACTATCTTCTGAAAACTTGAAGTACAGAAAATGTGCCTCAGGAAGAAGAAAGGGAGCTAGCTTCCTGCCACAAAAATTAAACAATCTATTATAATTGGTTAGATTCAGAGAAAAGTCATAAGCCTCAAACTCAATCATGTTCTTGTTTATATAAATTCCAATTATATTTACAATATATTATTGGCAACTGTCAATCCAAACTGGATTATGGTATACGCATAAAAGGCCTAATTAGTGCCAGATGAATCCGCTTATGGCTGACAAACCCAATTTGAGAGTGAAACAGCTTGTTAAATATATTTACAATATATCAGAACAGTTCTTAAGTTAAAGCAAGAGAAGCAGATAACATAATGATACTTAGCAAAGACTTTGACACCTCCATAGTAAGAGCAATCATGGCTCCTTACTTAAGGTGGAATACCATTTTGCACTTAAAGCCGTGATTCAGACCTGTGTATAAAAATGCAGCACGTCCTCCCAAGTTTAAAGCACTGAACAGAGAATGAATTCTGCAAATTTAGAAGAACATCTATTAGTTTGAGTTAAAAGTGAAAAAATGGGTTCTTTAAGAAGTTTGGCATCTGCATCAGTCTTTTCTTCACCCTAATGAGCCTAACAGAATAACGTTCTTCAAATATTCCAGAGATATAAACTAAAATCTTGTGCATAGGTCAAATGTAAAGCAATTAGGTCAAAATTAAGCTATTAACTATAAACATGGGGAAATAGTTTTACTTTGTGTAATGACCTATCCGCTCCCAGTCTCTATTCAAGCCTAAGTTAATTATATCCAGTTTGCAAATTAATTCCAATTCAGCAGTCTCTCACTGGAGTCCGTTTTTGAAGTTTTTTTGTTGAAGTATTGCCACTTTTAGGTCTGTAATTGAGTGACCAGAGAGATTGAAGTGTTCTCCAACTGGTTTTTGGATGTTCTAATTCTTGACGTCTGATTTGTGTCCAACTATTCTTTTACGTAGAGACTGTCCAGTTTGACCAATGTACATGGCAGAGGGGCATTGCTGGCACATATCACATTGGTAGATGTGCAGCTGAACGAGTCTCTGATAGTGTGGCTGATGTGATTAGGCCCTACAACCTATCCTGAAGGACAACCCATCACTCTCTCAGATCTTGGGAGACAGGCCAATCCTTGCTTACAGACAGCCCCCCAGCCTGAAGCAAATACTCACCAGCAACCACACACCGCACAACAGAAGCACTAACCCAGGAACCTATCCTTGCAACAAAGCCTGTTGCCAACCTTGTCCACATTTCTATTCAGGGGACACCATCATAGGGCCTAATCACATCAGCCACACTACGATGGTGTCCCCTGAATAGAAATGTGGACAAGGTTGGCAACAGGCTTTGTTGCAAGGATAGGTTCCTGGGTTAGTGCTCCTGTTGTGTGGTTGCTGGTGAGTATTTGCTTCAGGCTGGGGGGCTGTCTGTAAGCAAGGATTGGCCTGTCTCCCAAGATCTGTGAGAGTGATGGGTCGTCCTTCAGGATAGGTTGTAGGGCCTAATCACATCAGCCACACTATCAGAGAATCGTTCACCTGCACATCTACCAATGTGATGTATACCATCATGTGCCAGCAATGCCCCTCTGCCATGTACATTGGCCAAACTGGACAGTTTCTACGTAAAAGAATAAATGGACACAAATCAGATGTCAAGAATTATAACATTCATAAACCAGTCGGAGAACACTTCAATCTCTCTGGTCACTCGATTTCTGATCTCAGAGTGAGTATCATTCAACAAAAAAACTTCGAAAACAGACTCCAACGAGAGACTGCTGAATTGGAATTAATTTGCAAATTGGATACAATTAACTTAGCTTTGAATAGAGACTGGGAGTGGTTGAGTCATTATACTAAGTGAAAAGAAAAGGAGTACTTGTGGCACCTTAGAGACTAACCAATTTATCTGAGCATAAGCTTTCGTGAGCTACAGCTCACTTCATCGGATGCATACTGCATCGGATGAAGTGAGCTGTAGCTCACGAAAGCTTATGCTCAAATGAATTTGTTAGTCTCTAAGGTGCCACAAGTACTCCTTTTCTTTTTGCGAATACAGACTAATACGGCTGCTACTCTGAAACCTATAACAACCCCCTTGCAGAACCTGTGTGTGTGTGTATGAATGAACGTGTGAATAAATATGAAATTGAATGGAATGTTATAGCTATAACTAACTGCTTATTATGATTCTTTCTGTATTCACAATAAATGTGGTATTTTGCCTTTCCCCCTTTAATAAGATCCTGCTCGTTTTTATTTATTGGTATAACTTAGTGATACGTTGCTTTAGTCAGATCCGATGAATTTCCTATTTTATCTATAAGATTCTATCTGTACCTGAGGTAAATAGTGCTAATAAACTTCTGATTATAAAGGCGTTTTTGCCTGAGTCGAGCACTCAGTTGTTCCAAATAATCTGAGAATTGGCCCACAAATTGTCAGCCTGCACAAAGATTTTCTTGAAAATATATTAAACAGTAAAGCCACTTTTTTGGGTAGCTCCAAACCAACCATTTAAAAAATCTCAGCACTTTATTATTATTATTTACAGCAGAACAGTCAGTGATTTTTCTCTCTGTGTCTTAAAAGAAATCACATCAATGTTAGTAGGCCCAAAATCTGACTTAGCTTTCAGATCACCTTCTCTGCATATAAAAGACCTTGTAATATGTTTTGTCACACCCCCCTCCCCCAGAAAAATCCAATAAAATCCATTTTAAATTATTGCACATTACTAATTTCATAGTCTACCCCTCCAACCACCACTCCTTTATTGCTTTCTGTCTATAAATTCCACCCTCACCCCTTGGTTAAACATGCTGTTTCAAAGAATTTAACTTCGACCTAGACTACATTAGGTCTCAAGGTGAATAAAATCCTGGGTTTTTTTTAATATTTTCATTTTGTTTTTTCTTAATTTAAATTTACTCTTTTTCATTTACACATCACTAGTTTTTTTTACTTTCTTCAAATTTTATAATCTTAGGCCTGGTCTACACTAAAATATTAGATAGACCTAGCTCAGGGCTGTGAAAAATTTTGCGCTCTGTGTGATGTAGTTGGGTCGACCTAACCCTCACCACAGATGCAGTTAAGTTGATGGAAGAATTCTTTGTTGACCTAGCTACCGCCTCTCTGAGAGGCGGATTAACTACACTAGAGAGTCTCAAACTTCATTGTACCGTGACCCCTTCTGACAACAAAAATTACTACACAACCCCAAGGGGTGGTGGTGGAGGGGGCAGAGCTGGATCGAGCTTTTTTGCCACCCCAAGAAAAACAAACAAACAACCAACCAAAGCAAACCGCCGCCCAGACTGCCAAAGCAAAAAAAAAGAAGGGAAAAAAAATGGTGGCCAGAGAGCCACCAAAGCGCTGCCCCAAGATTAACTGAAATGCCGCCCCTTCACATGGGCCGCCCCAGGCACGTGCTTCCTTAGCTGGTGCCTGGAGCTGGCCCTGGGAGGGGGAGACAAAGCCTGAGCCAGCCCCAGGCACAAAAGGGGTGGGGGAATTTTCATCTAACAAATTTCACACCTAATCCTCATCTATTCTGCAAAAGGCAAGTCCAGGGCCTCATTAATATCCCTACTGTAAGAATGCCACAAACTCTGACACAGAAATGGTAAGGAAACACACCATGCTATTTTGAACTTCCACAGCTCAAGAAAGCTAAAACCAGGCTCAACCAGGCTCTCTCTCTCTACCAGATTTTTCAGTTTAAAGTCAATAAAACTTGTGCTCCTAAGTAACTTCGGTACATAAATATGCTCTTTAGGTACACCTCTACCCCGATATAATGCGGTCCAATATAATGCGGTCCAATATAATGCGACATTCATAACTTTCAAATAACTTCAAATTCAAATAATTTCAAACAACAGGGGGCGGAGCAGAGCTGTGGCTGGGATCAGAGCTGGGATGGGGCCCAAGTGGACCTGGGTGGCACTTCCTCACCACCCCCACATAGGGGTGACCTGGGCCCTGCCGCACACCCCCACAGGACAGCATGCCCCAGAATTTGGGGACCACTGATGTAGTATAATTAAATATAGGATCATTTCTTGAATAAGGAATGTCTAATACATTGTTATATTATATACAACAGCAACTACATCAAGATATCTTACTATAACCAAATAAAACCTCAATAAGTTTGTGGATCAGAGTTATTTTAAAATTTAAACAAGTCCCCTGATAATCAGGTCCCAAATAAAAATAGTGGACAACCTACTGCAGCGAGAACTAGATTTAATACTTAACATGATTTTTAGAATCAGACACTGGAGATGGAAAATGTCACATAACCTATTCTCACGTACTTGTTCCAGTCTAGTTTTAAAGATGACCTAAAAAGGGTTTTTTTTAAAAAACTTTCTAGAGAATCTTCATCATTAAAGGGACCTGAAAGGTTTGTGGGAGGGTTTTTGGTTTTGCTTAAAGGTTTTTCTCCTGCTCGTTTTGTACCTCAGAAGGAATGAGGAATAACAATTCTGATCTTCCCTTGTTTGCTGCAGGTACTGAAGGCCTCAAAATCTATATTATCAACTTTCACACTTTAACTGGAGTAACTGGGCTGTTCAATATTTACCAAAGACTTCCTCTAGCCAATATATTAGTCATTAAAGTTAAACAGATATCAACAAAACACAAAGTATTTTAGCCAGTTTAAAGATCCCTTCTGTTCTTAATTGTTTAACATTCACTCTAAATCAAAAGCTTCTCTTCCATTTTGTAGACTTTTCATTAAATAACTGAACAGAATCTCTCAACTTCAAGAAAACGTTACAAAAATGTGCTCTAAAAATGTGTTTTAAAAGGCTTCATAATTAGTAAGATGGAAACAAAAACAATGCTTCACTAGCTCCCTGGATTCCCTGATCAAAAGGCCTAGGGAAATAAGGGGTCCCTTAGACACTATCAGTAAGTTTAACAGATACCCTCGAGATTAACATCTATAATATAAAAACAAGCACTAAATTAGACTTTCCCACTGCCATATTTTCCAAGAAACAGACACTAGCTAAAACATTATTATTAATACTAGATAGCACTTTGGATCTGTGGATCTCAAAGTGCTTTACAAAGGCAGCAGTCATCTCCCTTTTACAGACAGGCAAACTGAAAAACAGGTGTGCTCTTGTGCAGATTATTTCACAACACAGACCAGTGGCAAATACATGAACAGAACCCTGGTCTCCCAAGCCCCAGGTTGTATCTCCTTAAAGCTTCACAACAGTCTCTTCTACATAGTGTTTATACCTCTCTACAGACTTTTTTTTTTTAATAGAAACTTTTGGGGACATAATAATTTGTAATTAGTCAAAACTAAGCTGCAGAAAGTATTCTGAAGGTTAAATAAAGACCAAACTGCAAAAATAATCTGGCATATAGATTCTTACAGAAAAAGGAGACAAAAGATCTATTAGCCCATCTTCCTGATAAATTGGGATTGTCTGGTACTGTATGTTCTCACGTGCTTTATCCAGTCTTGTTTTAAATAACTCATAAAAATGGACTTCCATTACTTTCTTGGGAGACCATTCCAGAGTCTAATACATTTCACTCACATAATTTCCTAGCTTTATTATTATTTTTTCACTTATTCATATTACTCCAAGTTATAAATCCTGAAGCTGGGTATCAGCACAGCCATATGTGTTTTGCTCCAGTTGGTACATCTTCTCTGTGGGCTGTCTGAGTGGTAGTGTAGAAGCACCACTATAGTTAAAGTTACCTCATGACATTTGCTGAAAAGTCAATGTTTCTAGGTCCTCTAAAAACATGCTTAGTTGGATCTTTTTGAAATTTTGCGTCTCTCTGGAGGGTCAAGAGTCAGTGACCCAAATCTGGAGTCATTTGATCCAGGAGTTCCAGAGATATCAGTCCCCTCAAAAACAGCCATTTTAGAAAAAGTTTCTGGGTGTTTTGTTTTTTTTTGCCCAGCACTGGAGACCAAACTATTACTGAGCTATGAGTCAAAATGGTTTCAACCTGTCAAATTTTACCCAAGGTAGTGCATGGCACTCACTAAATTTTGGAGGGACCCAATTTGAGAACAGTAGTTAAGAAAGTGTCTATTTTTACACTGTGCATGCACCAATAAGAAGAACAGCTAGCGCAGGGGTCTCAAACTCACAGCCCGCGGGCCATCTGCCACCCGCGAACGTCCCCAATGTGGCCTGCGGGGCTCCAGCAGTTTTGGAGCTGGGTCTCTCCCTTGGCCCCACCTGCCGCCCCTGGGTGCTCGCCACCCTAGGCGATTTAAAATGGCCCGGGGCCCCAGCAGCACAGCGGAGCTAAGCAGTGTCTGCTTGCTTGCTCCACATGTCTTCTGGCCTCTCCCTAGGGTTCCGGGGAGGGTTGTGCCTCCACATGCTGCCCCTGCCCCAAGCGCCCCTGCAGCCAATGGGAAGCCACCGCTCCCTGATCCCCTCCCTCCCAGAACCTGCACCCCCACCCCCTTCCCACTCCAAACTCCCTCCCAGAGCCCAACCTCTCACCCCTTCTGCACCCAAACTCTCCCCCAGAGCCTGCACCCCAATCTCCTACCCCAGACCTCCTCCCCCACCCAAATTCCCTCCCAGAGCCTTAGGCAGGTGGGGGGAGGAGTTGTGGGGGGGGTGGGTTCTGGGCAGCATGAGTGACATTATTGGCCCGCTGGGAGGATTTGAGGACTGGCACTGGCCCTAAGGTAAATTGAGTTTGAGACCCCTGAGCTAGAGGGTTTCCACTCCTGCCATTTTATATGCTGTAAAATTCTAATTCTTGTAAGTACTCTACATTCCAAATGGTGAATGGGAATGCCTTTGGTGTGTCTTTAAGGGTGTAGGTTAACAGTAATGATCCAAACTTGGGGTAATCTGACCAAGGGGTTCCCATGTTGCAGCGCCTCCCCTCCCACCCTCTCCCAAAAAAAACAAACAAACAAAAAACCTGTTTCCTTCTACTGCCTTGTACTGTTAAATTGAACGATACAAATGACTGGTTGAATCACAGACCTCTGGACTGTTGGGAGCTCACCCTTCAATTAACAATTAAAGATAAATTAATCACAAGTCCCACCTTAAGATAAAAGGACTTTGGGGCTATGTGGCTAAGAGACTGCCATCTATAACTCTCAAATTGTACAAATGTGGGGGAAGGTGGGGCCTGAATGTAACCAAAGTCTTTGGGAGAAAAATTAGACATGAATGGTTTTGAGAAGGAAGGGGGCGAAAGAGTGGAGGAATAGGGAGAGAAGGGTTTGGGGCTGCCGTGAGAGGAACCAGGTTATGGCAGGGGCAACAAGAGAATTGGGGGCTCACAGCACCCTGCCAGCTCCACCAAAACACCCTAACACTATTCCATTGTAACACAGTTGTACTTTGCTCCAGGCACTGGATGAGTCAGGTTATAAGAGGGGAAGAAGTAATAAACAGAAATGTTTGTACACCATGGAGCGCAGTTTTCAGAGAGATGCATTCCCTGCTTGCAGTGGTGAGGCCTAGGTACAATAGTGAGGAGGTGGCCAGGTTGCATGGGCAGCCCTAACTGCATTTCCTGGTTTTCAGACGTCTGAGTTTGACATACCACCAGGCAATCTTAACTCATGATAACAGGGTTTTTTTGGCCATTGAATTGGTTTGTTTCACTTTGAAGTCCACTGGCTCAGAAGGTAAGAGTAAAAAACAAAAGGGAAAAGATAAGAAATTGGGCAAAGGACACTGCTCCAGAAAAGAAAAAGAAAAGGCAAAAAGAAGTATTAATTTTTCAGAGATAAAGGAGATGTGAAAATTTGTTAAGAAAAAAGGCACCACTTTGTTATGAGTGAAATAATTCAATTCCATGACTGTTCATGTTTGTTATTACTTGTCTCACTTCTCAGAACATTTCATAACCCTGTCCTAACACTGTAAATGTGGACACTTCTACCTTCAAATTTAGTGTGTTGCACAGAGAAAGTAATCAAACCTCCACAGCTGTTTCAACTACCACCATCTAAAAACTTATCCACAAAAGGTAGAGAGAAAAAAGAAATTCTGGTAGAAACCTGTCACAGCAGCAGGACATTTCATGTGATTACACCCACTGCAGCCAAGCCCAAGCAGCCAGTCAGCCATCCTGCCGTTCCCTCTTATCGGGAAGACTCCCCTCCCCACCCACCACCGACTCCTGATATCAAGGCTGTCTTTTTGTGAGACCCACCCCAACCTCAGGCTGCCATGCCCTCTCCCATCTTCATAACCTCCCTTAGGAAGACATTGGGAGTCTCTCTGCAGTACCCCGAATGATGCTTACATGCACCTAGGGGACAGGAAGGGGGTTCTCTCTATCACATCCTCCATTCCCTACAGACTCCGGGGGGTGGGGGGAGGAGAACCTCATCCCATCTTCACACACTCTCCAGGGGAGCTGGGAGGGGGAGGTCTTCTCCACCATACCTCTTTCTCGCAGACTATGGGGGGGCGTCTCTCTACCAGGACTCCCCCCACTCACACACACTCCCCCAGGGGCGGAGTGTCTGCCACCCCCCCCACACACACGTGGTGTGTGTGTGTGTGGGGGGGGTGTTTATAGTGCCCCCCATGCCCGAGGAGAGGTATCTTTCTATTCCCCCCCCCGCCACCGTATCCACGGACACCCCAGAACCTCCCCACCAACCGCCGCCCCTCCCGCAGCTTCCGCAGCCCAGCTGCCCGAACCTCCCCACCCGCCAGGGGCTGCTCCGGTCACCCGGAAACGCCGCTCTCCCTACTCCAAGGTCCCGCCCGGCGACCCTCCTCCCCGGCTCCGCCGCTAGCTCCTCACCTGCATGGACGCCATGATGGATCCGCGCCCCCCCTCCCCTCTGCGCCGCCGGCGGGGACCCGAAGAGAGAGACACGCAGCGACGTCCCCCTCCCCCCCGTCACGTGGGGCCACAAGCCGAAAGCGGGAGGACGCATGCGCCACAGCGGTCAGAGGTCGGGGCTGTGCTCGGTACCGGCCGCGCCCGACGGGGTGTCACATCACAGCGAGGCGAGCGGGGCGGAACTAGGGAACGTGCCGCGTCGGCCTGTGCGCGGCGAGGGGCCTGGGCCACCCCGTGCCCCGCGGCGCGGCCTGGGAGGCGCCCGGCCGCTGGACTGGAGCCAGCGGAGCGGTAGCGCGCCCTGAGCCGGGAGGGGATGGGGCGTTGGGCGCTGCGCCTCTGGGTGAGCCTCCCCGCAGCGCCTGGGCGGGGTGCTCGGCGGCAGGAGAGACCCCGGGCCCGCCGGGTGCGGGGCCTCTGGGGAGCAGGAGCTCGCCACCGCTCTCCAGTTCTCTTCGCCCCCGCGGCTGCTCCATGCGCGGAGTTGAGCGGGATTTAGGGTTGCCAGTTCTGGTTGCACGTGTTCCTGGAGGTGTTTTCACACGATGTAATCTTTAATTCCTGGAGACTCCAGGCCAATCCTGGAGGGTTGGCATTGTATCCCCTATCCAGCCCCCGGTGATTGCAGGGAAAGCTGCAGCGAGGTCACATGAGCGTTTAGTCACTGTCTACTTCTCTGAAACTCTAGCTGATCTCTACTGAGCATGTGCAAATTGTGATGTTTCAAGTGCTTAAATTATAACTTTGCTAAAGGTGGGTAGATTTTCCTGGAGGCAGCACAACCCTGAGATGAAGGTCATGTCCTCGCAAAATAGTCATACCCCTGCTCCAAAGCACAGGGATGCTAGAGCTTCTCAAAGAACAGGGCATCTGCATTTTTGTTAAAAATGGTAGAACAAGGTATTTTTCTTTCATGTTTTCAGAAATAGCTGAAATTTTCTAGAAGGCTTCAGCCGGAGGGGAAACAGTTGGCTGGAAGACTTCAGCCTAAAGGGTTACATTTTGGTAAATTTATATGCAACCAAAAACAGAGTGAAGTGTGGGGCAGCCTTCATAATAGGTAGTGCTACCAGTCCTGCCTCTAATACTAGTTATTCCCCCACTGTCCCTTCCCAGGCTGCAGGTTAGTGTCTGGGTGAGTGCATGAATGTGTCTGGCAGATCATGTGTGAGATCCCATGATTTCCATGAACAAATAATCTGGAGAGTTTCTAGTATGATGCTGGGCAGCTCATCCCATTAGTTACTCTAAAAATCTGCTGTGTCATCATCTAGTTGTCTGTAGACCATTTAAGTCCTGGGTTCTTTTTGTCCTTTGTGTTGCGGATCATGTAGATGCAGTCAAAGATTTTGAGTACGTATGGCCAGACATTTTTGAGTGGTGCACTTTAAAAACAAATTTTACATGCGTATACATGCACAAACACCCCCCTTTTAATTGTGCAAGTATTTTATTTTTTAAAACCACCTGTCGTGTGTTGGATTGTCTATTCTGTGATTGGAGCTGGTCCTGTTACCAGAAGTTGCCATCTTAATAAAGCACTCAAGATAGTTGAATCCAAAGCTGACTGCACGGGCTTACTGGTTTCAGAGTAACAGCCGTGTTAGTCTGTATTCGCAAAAAGAAAAGGAGTACTTGTGGCACCTTAGAGACTAACCAATTTATTTGCGCATGAGCTCACGAAAGCTATGCTCAAATAAATTGGTTAGTCTCTAAGGTGCCACAAGTACTCCTTTTCTTTCCACTAAACTGGGTGACTTGGCAGTATCCGGAATATGGCGTACAGTTCTGGTCACCCCCTCTCAAAAAAGATATATTAGAATTTGGAAAAGTACAGAGAAGGGCAATGAGAATAATTAGGGGCATGGAACAGCTTCCATACAAGAAGAGATTAAAAAGATTGGTTCTAGTCATCTTAAAAGAGACATCTAAGATGGCGGATATGATTGATTGCTATAAAATCATGCAGGTATGGGGAAAGTGAATAGGGAAGTGTAATTTACCCCTTCACATAACACAAGAACTAGGCGTCACCCAATGAAATTAATAAACAGTGGGTTTAAAACAAACATAAGAAAGTACTTCTTCACACAATGCATAGTAAACCTGTGGAACTTGTTGCTATGGGATGTTGTGAAGGACAAAGGTATAACTGGGTTCAAAAAATAATTAGATAAATTCCTGCAGAATAGGTCCTTCAGTGGCTATTAGCCAAGATGGTCAGGAATGCAACCCCATGCTCTGGGTGTTCTTAAACTTCCAAATGCCAGAAGATGGGACTGTGACGGGTTGGATCACAGAAAACCCCTTGGGAACTGCCAACTGATGTGCTGGGACTACCTCTGAGCCCGCTTTCCCTGTCACCTAATAGCTGTTGAAACTCCCTTCTCTGCAGCCGATGAAGTGAGCTGTAGCTCACGAAAGCTTATGCACAAATAAATTGGTTAGTCTCTAAGGTGCCACAAGTACTCCTTTTCTTTTTGCGAATACAGACTAACACGGCTGTTACTCTGAAACTTCTCTTCACTGAAAGCATTTATGTTTTGAGAGCAAAGGTATGCCAATGGCTGATCAGCACATGTAAGTTTTAGAAGGGAAAGGAGCCAGTAGCCTGCCAAAAGACTGAGAAAGAGGCTTTGAGATGCAATCTAGAAGCATTTTCATGCTAAAATAAATGACAAGGTCACATTTCCAAGTGAAATCCTTGTGATAGTGAAGTTAGTGGGCGTAAACAACTCGAGGTGGGATTGATGTAGGGTTAACTCTGCTACTGCCCTTTTGACACAGTTAAAATATTAAACTGAGCACCATAATTAGCTTTACTAAGTTGTATTATTTTACATGAACCAAACACCTTTACCCTAAAATGTTTTTAATGCTGTATGTTATACACACAGCAAGCATATCAAGTTTAGGCGATGGGCATGTGTTCAGCTGTAAACGTGCATATTGATTAGTCAACAGGGGCATAATTACAGTGCAATAAAACTGATTTGAAACCATGGTAATGAACTTCTCAATCCTGTTCCAGAAAATCAAGGTCAAAAGATTGTGTGTGCGGCTGCCAGCACACACCCTACAGTGCAAATTAGATTTTGTTTTGTATGTTCTACTATATAAAGTACATATTAAGGCCAGCTTTGTAGGACTTTGAGTTAGGTGTTATAAATACTAATATCACCCTCCATTCTGTAATAAAAAATGACTAATTTCTCTTTCATGTCTTTTGCCACTACAGGCGCTCAGCTGCAAAAATATACAGCCCTGACATGCCCCTGAATTTATGAAAAATCTCTTTCCTGTATTTAGTTACACTTATGAAGGTTTTTAATCCAATCCAAAACTGTTTTGTGTTATTTACTAAGGTATACTCATGCAATATCCAGTGCTAACCCAATTCTGTCCTCACTCCTACACAACCCCATGGATATCAAAAGTAAGCAAAAGGTACAATTTGGCCCTTAAAAGGATCATTGTGTATCTTGTTTAGGAAACTGTTAATCAGATTCTGGCCCTGCTGAAGTCAATGGCAAAGCTTCCACTGACTTCAGCAGGAGCAGGATCAGCTGCTTTATAACTACCAAAGGTATTATTTATGCAAATTTGGCCTCCTACTTTTTCAGCAGTGGCACTGGATAATCCTCCTCTAGTTTTTATGCGAAGAAAGCTTTAGCACCCTTTGTTGTCATTGGATTTGAATGGAATATGGGCTATTTGAGTGTTCCACATATGTTGTACTGTTGCTGTATACGCTACTTCCCATCCCCCAATTTGTTGTTTCATCTGTGTGTGATATTGTAACATAGATTGCAAACATTTTCAACATGGTGTCTTTTAAAAAGTGTTGTTAAAGTGCCTAACACAGTGGGGCCCCATACTCAGATTAAGACACAACAGTAGAACACGTTGGAAAGAACTCTCTGCTGGTCACAATAGAACTGAGTAAATAGAACACAATGACTAGTTTATTCAGCAAATAATTTCAGTTCTCTCAATTTGTTCATGAACAGGTCATGGAACTCTTTGTTCTAAAGTATTCACTAATTTAGACAGTGAAAAATTCTCTTTTGGAAAATGGTTCACAAACGGTAGCACAAATTCTCAGTTTGCATTTCACCCCAATGCTGAGGACTGGCACAAGGCCCTGCTTATGGGCTGTGCAGGGGAAGGAGGGCTGTCTGTGTGCATTGAGAAGAGATGTCACACCAGCCCTGTAGAAGATTATACCAGGGAGTAGGGCAAGGGAGGGACAGTGGATCTTCATTTATGCTTGTATAGTGACGCCAGTACTCTGTGTAAATAGTGCCGAGGGACAGCTGGAAGACCAGCCTTTATAGGAAGGTGGGGGGTACTAAGTGGCTGCTGAAAATATCCAACACAATGGATGAAATTCATTTTACCTATATAAAGCTTCAATATTGGGCCTCAGGTCTGACGCTGCACCAGCAAAGTTAACAGTTTTGCCATGGACTTCAAGGGTGCACAATCACAGTCTTAGAATCTAACTCCAAATTTTATAGAGACAGAATGAATTTCAAGTGAGCTGTCGCTCACGAAAGCTCATGCTCAAATAAATTGGTTAGTCTCTAAGGTGCCACAAGTACTCCTTTTCTTTTTGCGAATACAGACTAACACGGCTGTTACTCTGAAACCTGTACTGTGGTGGTTAGTTTCATAAATCATTTGGCATTGCTTCTGTTTCTTGATTAGTTACATAAGACATCCAACCACCACAGTGCAAGTCATGAATGTTGTACTTGAATATACAATTTAAAACTTTTTCAGTAAAGATTCAAGCATTTGGTGTTAATTCACTTTTCTTGATCATTTCTGTTAAAGCTTCAGGGGTTGAATGTTTAGAGAAAGCAAACCCAAAAGGTTACAACTATAGTCAATCAAAATTTGCCTTTGAATTCAAATGGCTATTTGTATAATTTTTTTTCCATTATTTAACATGGTTATAATTTTCTCTCATGGTGAGCATATTGTTTTGACTGTTTACAATATTTTGTGATGTGTATAAGCAGTAAATAAAGATTAAAAATAAAATATGAAACAAGTTTACTGAACATTAATTTCTGATTTTAGTGAATATTAAAAGTGTTCATGTTAGAATTTGACAGGAAGTGCACGGAATCACAAGCATCTTTGTTGGGTTTTGTCCAGACCAGTTTTATTCCACCACTTTCCATCCCCCATTATTATCTATAAAGTGTTTTTGCAAGAGAGTTATAAAATGAACCTTTTACTTAGGTATTACTAGTGTCTTGAATATTTCAGATACTAAACTGCATCTTAATGTCTGATTCCTTGCAAATTCTACCACTTTGGTCATGTTGCACCTTGTTTTCTTTTGTCCTGCCTCCTCCACCTTCCCATCAGAAGTTACTTGTACATTCACATTAATCTCCCTTTGTTAGTCCAGTGGCCTCACAAGTATAATCTGCAGTGCAAGGAGGCT